TTGTCAACGTTCGTGAAGAACAAAAATCAACTATCAAAATAAGTTTTTCCCAGCCATATACGACCCCGCTCTACCAGGGACCACATACGCCCCCTTCCTGTTTGGGAATCCCCAACAACGATGTGTCTTGTAACCCTCAGAGATTTGCTAATGGCAGTACATCTTTACCGACCCCTAAAAGTTGGGTTAACTTCCGTTTTTCGATGCTACCAACCTCTCACTATTCCACCTTATCACCTGCTATCAACTCTTATCACTGCTTTGAATCAACTTGCCAATGTGCTATGGCACACAAAATGATTTTCGTGAAGCTCGCCTTATCAGCTCTTATCAGTCATTACCATTTCCTGCAACCCGCCACCAATATCTCTATATCACTACTGGAATCCAAGTCCCCGTTGCTGCTAGGGTTCGCATCATGAGTATTCCCTTCTAGCGCCCCTTACCGACTCTTATTTTTCGTTATCACCTCTTAACACTCACTATCAGTGTCCCCGTCTCATCCTCTATCTAATTACTTGTAATCAGCTTCTCATTATTGCTCTGGCGCACGTTAAAAGATCCACGGTACGCCCTTTTAGTGCCCCTTATCAGCTCTTATCAGTCGCTATCACTTCCTCTCGCCTATAATACATATTGTCGTCAAGTCTTCTTCATCAGCTATCAATCTGAGCGGCCAAATCAAAGGGTCGTTAGATTAAATGAATAAATAGGCAATACAGCTGATTTAATCCCAATCAGGCGGCTCAGTGTAAGGAAGCGTGGAATGAGCCCTCCCGAGACGTTTTCACCAGTGGTTGTTTCGCATCAAGTCTGCCTCTAAAAAACGCAGCCACGGGCAGGCTCACTCCACGTTTGCTGTCGAAATACCACCGGATTGCGACGGTATCAACTATAAGTGACATATTAAGAGAACTAATTCAGGTCTTGTCTTCGCATGAACTCTACGCGCCGTCGATCACTCGTTTTCGAGATACTGATCGTATTGCAACGCAGTACTACGACGGACTGATTCGCCTTCATCATCCAAGTCGACAACGAAAGCGAAGCGTCGTGGATGCCTATCGCGATAAGAGAGGTACGGAGGTTTTTTTTGGGTAATTGCGACCCCCTCGACCCCCCCCCTCTTTGTTCGCGGGCCGAAACCAAAAACTACCTATGCGGCCCTCCGGAGTGGTGAGGCTGGTTGAAAGAATCCCTCAGGGGGGGGGGCGTCGTGTGTGGTCTTTGATACGCGAGCTGCGCTTTCAGGCATCTCCACTATCTTTTAGGGCAGTCGAGTTCGTGGCGCGTCCCAACCCCTCCATTTTATTTGTGACCAGTGTTTCCTCGCCATTTTCATGTTTATTTTCCTTATATTTGAATGTGCGATATTTCAGGATCACACGGTGAACGACGACGGGTCTCGGCAGATGTGAAGAACGCTCTTGAAAACGATTCCGAATGGAAGTTTGACATACTGCAACTGGAAAAAGTCACCGAAAATCATGCACTCGTTCAGCTTGGGATCAAGGTCAGCCTTTTTCCGAGTATTGAACTCTTCAAAGGTCGAGGTGATGCTGGTGACGCCTAAAGGCGCACAGGGACGATTTTGGGGAATTCCCGAAGTGAGTCGCACAAACTTGTGCGCTGCGGGCACTGAGCCCCCAGGAGGGCCGAGTTGGGCGCTAACCTAGCCCACTTGCACACCCTAGCGTGCGCAGCGGACAACTCTGTATTTGGTCGGGGGAGGGGAGGACGGCCGTTCTTGGCCCGGAAAAATCCGCTCCCGATTGTTGATTTTTTCCGGCTACATATCTTCTGGCCACTTAGAGGCCCCACAAAACCACTAATCCGAAGAGTTGACAGTGGGTGCTTGACATCGAAGATTTGAGAAAAATTTGGTAGGAGAGTAAGCATCAGGTGAAAAGGGGTCGTACTAGCGTAGGAAATTGGGGAACTGTGCGCGCCACTCTTGCTCCGACGCGCTGACAGCTGGTCCGTCCTGGGAACCCACCCTTCTACCCAACGTCCACTGAACGGGGTGGTGTCGGGAGGGGCGAAATGAGCCCGCCTCTGGTTGCCCTGCTCTACCGGTGATGATCATGAGTGATGACCGCCCCGACTGATTACGATATCAACTATAGCAACATTGAAGGCACGTACGGGGTGGTGCACCTAAGAACTTGGGTGCAGTTTCTTTTACGGGAGTAGGTTCCATAAGCAAAGAGTTGAGTAGATTCTAAAGAAGAGCTTTAGAAACGAAAAAATAGCAAAACTGCTAGGACGGATGGCTGGACTAACTTACGAGGGGGCGTTCAAAGCTTTCGTTGTGCAAAACTAGGGTTACGGTGGAGGAGATAAGGACTTTTGCATAGGGCTGAAGGACCAAGGAGCTTCTGGGTGAATGAACCTATGTAGAATATGAAAATTGTGCATTAAAAGTGATTTAAACCCCTTTCAAAAAAGTGCTTCAAAGCTTTAAAGCCCTCACGCCGATGGGATTATCTTCAGATTTTCGAGCGATGGAAGATGGCCGATTCGCTGAGCTGCAACGAGGACATTCTTCATCGTTGGCTGTACACCGTCGAAGCCCATTATCACGCTGGAAACGCCTATCATAATGCTACCCATGCTGCTGACGTCCTACAGGTACATTTCCGCGCTCCATGATCAGGAGAGCGATCGATATATTGATCAATTACCTTAGGCTACATCGTATTTCCTCGATTCGCCGACGGTTGCTGCACATATCACAGAAAATCACGCAATCGCGGCTCTTCTAGCAGCCACCGTCCACGACCTGGATCATCCGGGTAGGTTTGGTGACGTGAAATGAAATGTTTCTCCGTAGATGGACAAACTGCCACTCAACTGACGTCACTTCACATTTGAGAGGGCTCTGGAACCAGAGAAATGAATCGATGAAAAAGTTTTGGTTGACGTCAGTTTGAGAGAAAGCTGTAATTTGTAACATAATGCAATTCATCTGACGTCTTCGGCTTCAAAGTACAGAACGCTTCGGAAAAAAAACCACTTGTCATCCACTCTTCCAATTTTGCAGACCCTCTGAAAAAAAACCCGTCTTCCAGTATTGCGGGGACCAATTGTATTGATTTTAGGACGGGGAAACGCGTTCCTTATTAACACTCGACAATCGCTGGCAGTACTGTACAATGATCATTCGGTACTGGAGAATCACCATGTTGCCTTGGCATTCCAGCTAACTCTTCAGCAAAGCAACAATGTGAGTTTTGAAGGGTGTACAGTCCTCATCATTACGGACTGTCGGGGCGGCACAGCCGCGCTGCAATGTGACGCGACAGCGGCTGCGGCTCGGTGACGGCGAATCAGCTGATTTCCATGGAATTCGGCCACTTTTTCAACTCTTCAGCTTCGAAAGTGGAAGGTGAGTTATTTTGAGCAATTTTAAATTGTACTGACTCTGAATGAATCTGAAAGAATGCAAGCCATTTGAATAAATGCCTGAAATAAGGCAAAATACAAGGAAAAGAGCATAATAATCGACATAAAAATAAAGGAAATCAGAGCCAGTACAATTCGAAATTGTTCAAGATGACTCATCTTCCACTTTCGAGCTTGAAGAGCTGAAAAAGTGGGAATTTGCAGCCGAATTCCATCGAAATCAGCTGATTTCACGAGCCGCGGCGCTGTCGCGTTCACAGTGCAACGCCGGCGACAGTCGTAATTATGAATGGACTGTACGGTAGTTCCGATTACTGTAAGCAGTTACCGTAAACACTATAGTTAAGGTGAACATTTTTGGCAGTCTTTCCCGTGAGGAATTCACCGCTATTCGACATGCAATGGTTGAGATGGTATTGGCGACGGATATCAGCCGACATTTCGAGTATCTCGTCAAGTTCAACAAGGTCAGCACGGCTAAGAGGGCCCATGTAAAAGATATATATTGATTACCTTGTTTTAGTTTTTATTCGTGAATGTGGTTGACTATGATTCCAGTAGTAGATTGCATGGCGGAGATTGAGGTTGCGCCTCGAACCTTAGTAAGGGCTGATATCTTTGAAGAAAGGGCGCGGCGGGGGGGGGACTAGAAAGGCATACCTGTGAGCGCGTGGCCGATTAGGTTTTCCGATTTCCGAGGTTTTCTCCTCTCCATTACCAATCTCTATTACTTTCTTTCAATGACAATTTTCTTGGAGACTTCCTCGTTTCCTTGGAAGTTTAAATCGATTCGTTTCAGATGAATGTCGTTGATGTACCGGAGGAGGCTCGTGAGGATAACTCGTTAACCATCTGTAATATGCTGGTGAAATGTGCCGATATCTCAAATCCAACCAGAGAATGGGCGCTTTGCGAGAAATGGGCTTATCGTATCGTAGAGGAATATTTTGACCAAGTAAGTGTTCATCAATTACTACAGAGTAGCGCTAGAACAGAGAGAAAACTGCGTTCCAGACTTTCGCGATAACGCGCGTCGTTTGGCGCTTACCCTTTGCCAATCACGCCCAGTGCTACAGAAGTTAAACATAAGCCACTAGACGGTTGATCGGCGCCCGCCGCATGCGGGTTCTGGTGAGGGGTAGGAGAACGGGAAGTCCGGAATGTGCGTTGAGCGTGTCATAGAAGGTAGCAACCTCACGTGTACTGCGATCTGCATACGGCGCCAGGTTTTATTTATGGCCCAATTGTTTGAGTCCTTTTTCTGTTCACCTATATTCTCCCAAAACAAGATCCGCCGCCCATCGGTACCCATCTATGGCTGCGTTCCCGTGCCGCGTCTACAGCTTTGGAGCACCTTGCTTCTGCGGGAGCGCTACCCACTTTTCTCCGATTATTGTTCCTTTACTCTGCTTTCAGTACTTATTACTGCTTTTAATTGAATTTTCAGACCCGAGAAGAACGCGAAAAAGGTCTGCCGTGACGATGGAGGTGTTTGATCGGAAGACGTGTAATGTGCCGCTTACGCAATGCGGATTTATTGGTGAGTCAGTTTGCAGATGCTGGCACTTCCCCGGGTACGGACCAGGAGACTAGCCAGTATTTCTTAGAAAGTTGACTCGACATGCTGCACACTCATGTTGGATCAAATTTAGCTGCAGACACTGGGGTATATCGGGTGGGGGGGTCGGTTTGGCGCGGCGTAAGCCCGTTCTCCACTAATTGCCCGCTTCAACACTTTTGGGGATCAGGCTGGGATCGAAATGTCAGCTAGGAGCCCCTCCCTGAGACGCCCTCCCTTCCTTCGTATGCAGGGAAAACGACTGTAAGTTTTTGACTCTAACCGTAACTCTAGAACCATTCAGGATTTCAAAAGAATCACGCAAAATTGTGGGGTTAGGATTTGCTGGATCTACCTGTCACTTTAAGACAGCAGTGCTCTGAATCTCCTCTTCTGGCGATTTCATAAGCCGAACTCACTAAACTCTATTTTTTTTTTTTCTTTTTTTTGTGTTTTTTTTTTTTTTTTTTTTTTCTTTTTGCCCGTTAAGAGGGAGCAGAACCAACAAGAATGGGTTCCGTTTGTTCTGACCTCGCTGTAGACTGTACCCTCCCGACAGCTTTGACGCCCATTTTGCCAGTAACAATCCCCTCACAATAAAGCGCCTCATGATGTGGCGAATGTGACTTCTTCTTTTCAGATATGTTCGTACGCGAAGCCTACGCAAATTTTTCTGAGTTTGCCAATCTTGGCCATTTGTCGACACAACTTGAAGCCAACTATGAGCAATGGAAAGGATTAGGTCCTAACTGGACACCTGCCAACAACTCCGCTTTGCTCATGTGACGGACGTGACGCGACCGCCACATTCATTGCCAAACATCCGGCTAATCTTGGAATGCTGCCAAATCCAACAACGGCTCATTGCTCCTCTTTCGTTTAGGAAACTGTGACTTATATCACGCCCTGTGTCCTAGTTCTTCTTAGTGATGTATCCCCTGTTGGGCCCCGTGTCAACTACCCCCCCCCCCATCATTGAGTGTTTTCGTCCATTTCTTGCTCTCACTTTGGCTGTACTTGATCATTTGACGCTCTTTCTTTCTGTAATTTAAAATACTGTATCTGATTTTTGCACGTTTTTTCCCTTTTGGTTTTCATTCAGGTTGTTTTGTATAGTTGTTTACTGTTTACTTATTTTTTTCATCATTATCGTGTTCTTTTTAGCTTTATATTGCCGTGATAGCTTTGTTTCCCGTGGAGCAATATTTTCAAAGCTTTTACCAGTTTTCCTTTGGCTTTACGATATACAGACCTTACTCGTTTGTAACCCGTTACCTAGTCGTCTGAAGCTTATACCTAAAAGTTCTCTATCACTGCCTTTGCTGCCGCTTTACTTTGTCCTAGTCGCCCCCCCCCCAACTCCAATGTCACCCGCCAAATCTCTGGTCACTTAGTCCATTTAGCCAATCGTTACCGTATAGCTACAGTATAAACTTGCCAGTAAGGTATTCGTGAGAAAATTTATTGATCTTTTGTTTTTGATCAGATTTTTAAGATGTTTTCAATATATGATGTATGTGGAATATGTTGCATTTGTATCGGTTTTCCGTCATATCGACTTTGTAGTGGGCGGGGCGTCCCACTCATAGAACGCTCGCTCCGCCTACACCGGCCGTTATGCTGAACACTACGAGCTATCCTCTTTTTTGCTCATTCATCACCTTATCGATCATTTTCTTGCCATTTATCTCTTGCGAAAGAGAATATCCATTATTTTCCTACAGTTTCTTTCTATTAGATTTCCAATGAATTTCTATTTATAAACGTTATCGATACGTACTTGTTACCGTAGCAATCCATTCAGCAGAAAATGCGTGGTCATCCGACAAGTATCACTGGGCAAAAGACCCTACGTGACGCCGCGTGCGACGGTGCGATGTCGCAGATGATGGCGTCACCACGCGGGGTGATATCGATCATGTGCGCTGTGGGAGACAGTTTTCAGTGACAGAAAGTGGACAAGCTTATGCCTATGTAGTTGTGAGAAAGACGATGCCCCGCCCATTCTCTTTTTGTCCACGTCCCTTTCTTAACGGAGCCCTAGCAAAAACTCTCCGTGAGAGAACCCAGACGAGCACGAAGAGGGTAATTCCTGATCTGATCGTCAATCGCCTTGTCATCTCCCACTGCAAGCTTCAGTAGGGAAAGGCATGGAGGCAATAACCCAGGAACGAGAAGGGTTTCGGGCTCTTGACATCGTCTGGCGGACTTCTCTACTGCTGGGAGCTGGGACGGCTCCTTTAAGAAACATTGTTGAATTAGTTCCACCACATAATCGAATGCCACCTTGGGAATAAGTCATTTATGGTGTCCTATGTGGGAGAAGTTCCTCGTGAAAATTACGAAATCGTGCGTTCCTCCAAAACAAGAGCGAACCGTTTATCATCTCGAGTTCCGGCTTCAATCTGAATTTAGCGAAAAAGCAGAAAAAACTTCCAATCGTCATAGTAAAAGCACGCGTTTAAACTCACAGCGCCTGAGACGGGGTAGGCGTGCATTCCGAACCTGGCAGCCGAAATGGTTTGATCGTGGATAACTTTCCATGCGCAGAGCAGCCCGCACTTTCTTCTTGTTGAACAGTGAATTGACCACATTTGGGCCAAAATGAAAATATTTCTCCAAAAGCATAGCCACCGCGACGTTCAGTTGAAGCACGCAGCCACGCCTACCTCATCTCAGGGATTTCGAGTGTACGAGATGGCGGCGAAATGAGGCCGTCCAAGGACCAGCGCTCTTTTGCTGGTATCATAATGAAATCATCTCTTTTGTCTTATCGCCTCACTTACACCATTTACAATGCAAAAACTTAGTACCGGGGTGGAGCATCGTGATGTGTGAAAAATGAAATGTGAAAAAGGAATCAATCCCCAATCCTCTGGTGCGACCCCACCCTCTCCCAATCCCATCTACCGCCTTCCCAAGTTTCAACAACTACGAAACAAGACTTCAAAGCGAAACAACATCTAATTTCACCTATTGGAAAGAGCTGTGTAGCAGTTTGGTTGTTGTTTTGTCATTGTATAGCCAACTAGGCAAGTAGGAAGGGGGGGGTACAGAGCGCACATGAAGCAGGAAAACTCGGAAAAAAAATCAGCAGCTGGAAAAAGCCTTCATCGCGCTCGGAATTTTATTCCAGAAATCCCAATCAAAAACGGTTACCTACTACCTTTAATGACGTATGCCTTTCCAAAAGACTCCCACAAGACTCCCACTGTGATACCCCAAAGAGGTGGATATCGCGAGAAAAATCAAAAATCAACAGTCAAAAAAAATTCGGACCAAATACGACCCTCAGCGACCAGGTGCGATCCTCTAGTGGGATTCTCTCAACGATGCTGTACCCTGAGTGGAACAACCGCACAACCGGAAAGCCTTTAGAAATCGGAGGGGGACAAATGATATACTAGCGCCTATAGAACGGGCATTGCCACTGCGCTACGGTAGTCCTTGACTTGATGGTTCAACCTTGCCCATGCTAACATTGCAGGTGCACCAAATGTCAACTGCTCAGCTTCAACTCACCTGAAAAATTCCTACAGCGCTTTCAATCTTTGATCAGCTTACCACAAAACCTATCCGCCTAGTTTGTTCTGTTTTTATTGCTATGCCACTCGAGG